GGCCATTAAAAGAGAATGTTTTTTTTTCAGAAATCATACTTACCTAGGTGGATGTAGCATCACTCCGATGCTGCCCCTGTCCCCCGCCGGCAATAAGAACTGAGTGATCAAACACAGCTGATCACTCAGTGCTCTGTGAGTGGTGACTGTCAGTCTCTGGCTCTCTGCTCTGCCCCCCCAAGCTGCGGAGGGGGTGGAAGCGACTGGTTCAGACTCTCACTCTCACTTTAATGTCAGGATCTTTCCCCAGTGACGTCAGCCAACAACGGACTTTAGCCCACTGTCGGCTGAAAACGGGTCACAGGAGTACAGAAAGAAAGAAGTGCACTCCTATGATCCACAGGAGAAGAGCATCCAAAGGAGCTTTGGCTGTACTTCTCCTTTAAGTAGTGGATGTGTATGGATTATTTTTAAACCTCTACCACTCTCCTCTCCTCTCATCCTCTGCACTTCTGGAGGACTCCGCTCCTTCCTCTATAACTCTCCTCTCCTGAAATACTCTGCGCTGCTGGAGGACTCCTCTTATAACTCTCCTCTCCTCTCATCCTCTGCACTGCTGGAGGACTCCGCTCCTTCCTCTATAACTCTCCTCTCCTCCTCTAAATACTCCTGCGCTGCTGGAGGACTCCGCTCCTTCCTCTATAACTCTCCTCTCCTGAAATACTCTGCGCTGCTGGAGGACTCTGCTCCTTCCTTTATAACTCTCCTCTCCTGAAATACTCTGTGCTGCTGGAGCACTCCGCTCCGCATCAGATGTCGTGGTATAAAGCACGCCGCCACTGGACTCTAGAGCAGTGGAGACGTGTTCTCTGGAGGGACCAATCACGCTTCTCTGTCTGGTGATCCGATGGACGTGTCTGGGTTTGGCAGTTGCCAGGAGAACGGTACTTGCCTGACTGCATTGTGCCAAGTGTAAGGTTTGGTGGAGGGGGATTATGGTGTGGGGTTGTTTTTCAGGGGTTGGGCTTGCCCCCTAGTTCCAGTGAAGGGAACTCTTAAGGCATCAGCATACCAAGACATTTTGGACAATTTCATGCTCCCAACTTTGTGGGAGGAGTTTGGGGATGGTCCCTTCCTGTTCCAACATGACTGCACACCAGTGCACAAAGCAAGGTCCATAAAGACATGGAGGAGCCAGTTTGGGGTGGAGGAACTTGACTGCCTGCATAGAGTCCTGACCTCAACCCCATAGAACACCTTTGGGATGAATTAGAGCGGAGACTGTGATCCAGGCCCCCTCCCCCGACATCAGTGCCTGACCTGACAAATGTGCTTCTGGAAGAATGGTCCAAGGGCGGGGCCAACTCAATATTGAACCCTATGGACTAAGACTGGGGGGCCATTAAAGGTCATGTGCGTGGAAAGGGCGGGGCCAACTCAATATTGAACCCTACGGACTAAGACTGGGGGCCATTAAAGTTCATGTGTGTGTTGAGCCAATACTTTTGACAATATAGTATATATTGATCCAAGCTGGACCAATGGAATTGTGTAAAAATTTCCATATCTGGAATTCAGCTTTAAAGTCTAACTCCAGACGATTAGTTTTGGATAAAGTCGGGAAGAGTTAAGGTGTCCTTTCCTTTTATTTCTATCTGTGACCACATAGTGGAGATTTGCCTTCACTTCCTGTTTTTGGGACACCCATAAAAGAAATAGGAAGAGAAGGTCAGGCGTTCTAACCCCTCCTCCAATCTAATAATATTGTGATCTTGTCTTTGTCCCCAACTGGAGAAATTGGAGGGTAAAAGAATGATTGATCCATGGGTGTCCCTGTCCACAACATTCAGCTAGACAAAAGTCCCTAAAATAACCGACTTTTCCAAAAGGGGTGAGGTGGAAATTTGTTGGCCAGATAGCTTCTGCATCCAGTTAAATGCAGGCACTGTTCGGGTATTCTGCCTCTACAGCTGGCTATCAGAATACAATAGATTCTTCCATCCATGGTGTTTAGTGAGCTATAAAGCTCACCATACATGTTACAATCTGATTGTACAATCTCATTTAGATCCACCAACAAGTATGTAGTACAAGGACTTGCCTGATTGGATACAAACTGATTAGGGATCAGGTGAGGCCGCCTCCCCCTCCCACCGCACACTCCCTGTCACATGTCCAAGGAGGCTGCAGGACTAGTCATGGAGCATCACGTGAGCTCACTCCTGCGCAGTGGGAAGCTGGCTTTGGCTGCTCAGCAGGGGCATCCCGAGGCAGATGTGGGGGTTGTGCACCACACCGGGTGACACCGGACCCGCTCTATGAAAAGGTAAGTTGTAAAGCAAGCCGACGATCCCAGAAGGATGGATCCGATCCATTACGCTCCCCAATCTGCAGATCCGATCCATCCTGCGGGAATCGTCAGCTTTCTTTACAACTTACCTTTTCGTGGAGCGGGTCCGGTGTCACCCTGTATAGGTTGCATGCCGATGATCCCTGCAGGATGCGGATTGGGGAGCGTAATGGATCGGATCCATCCTTCTGGGATCGTCGGCTTGCTTTACAACTTACCTTTTCACAGAGTGGGTCCGGTGTACAATCTACAATCTAAGGTCCCTAACTCACATTCATACATACACATACTAGGGACAATTTAGACAGGAGCCAATTCACCTACCAGCATGTCTTTGGAGTGTGAGAGGAAACCAGAGTACCTGGAGAAAAACCCACGCAGTCACAGGGAGAACATGCAAACTCCAGGCAGGTGGTTCCAGGGTTGGGATTTGAACCAGTGACCCAAGTACTGCCAGGCGGGAGTGCTAACCATTTAGCCACTGTGCTGCCCATCTGATCCACTCTGCGGGGATCATCAGAGGGGGTGTCACCAAGTGTTATCGCACCGGGTGACACCAACCCTAGGGATGCCCCTGCTCCTCAGTAAAATCCAGCTGCCTCCCATAGCCAAGATGGAGGAGCTGGTGACCCTCAGAGGTTCTGATTTTTAGAAGTCAGCAGCTACAGTATTCGTTGCTGCTGTCTTTTAATAAAAAAAAAATATTATAATATAATATTAATATAATATAATATTAATATATGTAATAAATGAATGACATTCGATCTGGAAGGAAAATGGCCTAATGGCATTCGTTTTTTCCCCCATTTACACAGAATATATTGTACATGCAGCTTCACAGGATAAATAACTCTGATAGGTGTTTTATAAATTTTACGTCACTTATAATATTTATTATTGTTATTATTAATATTAGATATTTGCCAAATGGTTTTGTTACCAAAGCTCTTTAGCCAGACAGCCCTAAGCTCCTGTACTTCTGGGCTCCGTAGCCATTGCTTGGTCCTCTCTGGCTAGGGATAGTCCCTTGCCTCAACTTATCCATATACTGTAACATGAGCTGTTCCAACCAGCTGCTGATGGACTCGGCACTTGTCCAGCTAAAATATTGCATAACTCCCATTATTCAGTCCAGCACATATTATTCTCTACCTTCAAGCCTTGATGAAGGGATGTTGTTTGGCCCCAAAGCGTGTTGGCTCATTTTCCTAATTCATATTGGAATACATTTATATCTGGACAATTAATTCTCAGCTTTGAGCTTCAATTTAAGGACCACCAAATCAAAGAAATTCTTTGGCATGGAGAAGGTGCCAGTTCTGAATCCATTCAATCACCACTGCCACTACTATATTAAGAGGATAACTCTGGTGTTTCTTCTTTGGTTTCGGCCAAGGATACAATGTATTCTGTGTTTGGCGTTTCAATCTAAGATGCACCAAACCAAGGAAACGGTGTCAATTCTTTGGCATGGAGAAGCTGCCAGTCCTGAATCCAGATACCCCATCCAGTCACCACCACTCTTTTATTAGGAAGATAACCCTAGGGTTTAGATATTACTTTTCTTTGGTTTCAACCAATGTAACAATGTATTCTTGGTGTTGCGGTTCAATCTAAGATTCACCAAACCAAAGAAACAGGGAAAATTCTTTGGCATGGAGAAGCTGTCAGTACAGAATCCAGATACCTCATCCAAACACCACCACCACCCTTTATTAAGAGTAATACTGCATAATTCCCATTATTCAGTCCAGCACATATTATTCTCTACCTTCAAGCCTTGATGAAGGGATGTTGTTTGGCCCAAAAGCGTGTTGGCTCATTTTCCTAATTCATATTGGAATACATTTATATCCGGACAATTAATTCTCAGTTTTGAGCTTCAATTTAAGGACCACCAAACCAAAGAAATTCTTTGGCATGGAGAAGGTGCCAGTTCTGAATCCATCCATTCACCACTGCCACTACTATATTAAGAGGATAACTCTCGCGTTTCTTCTTTGGTTTCGGCCAAGGATACAATGTATTCTGTGTTTGGTGTTTCAATCTAAGATCCACCAAACCAAGGAAAGGTGTCAATTCTTTGGCATGGAGAAGATGCCAGTCCTGAATCCAGATACCCCATCCAGTCACCACCACCACTCTTTTTATTAGGAGGATAACCCTGGGGTTTCTGTGTTACTCTTCTTTGGTTTCAATCAAAGTAACAATTTATTCTTGGTGTTGCGGTTCAATCTAAGATCCACCAAACCAAAGAAACAGGGAAAATTCTTTGGCATGGAGAAGCTGTCAGTCCAGAAACCAGATACCTCATCCAAAAACCACCACCACCCTTTATTAAGAAGATAACCCCAAGGTCCCAGTGCTACTTTTCATTGGTTTGAACCAAAGTTCCAATGTAATGTGACACTCCTACGTTGTCTATGAAGTTGAAAAACTGATTGTTGAGCCCTTTGATCAGTCCGGAATCTAGATACCCCATCCACACACCACCACCACTCCTTTATTAAGAGGGTAACCCTGAGGTTCAAGTGCTACTCTTTTTTTTGGTTTCAACCAAAGTTGCAATTTACTCTCGGTGTGGCAGTTCAATAAAAGATCTACCAGACCAAAGAAACAGGCAAAATTCTTTGGCATGGAGAAGCTGTCAGTCCAGTATCCAGATACCTCATCCAATCACCACCACCAACCATAACCCTAGGGTTCCTACCTTGTCTATGAAGTTGACAAACTGATTGTTGAGTCCTTTGATCTGCTCCTTCTCCTCGTTCCTCATCTGGTGCAGTTTGGGGTCCACCTCCAGGGTGGGCAGGGAGGACAGCAGGAAGGTGCTGGACCCAGGGGTCATTCGAGAAATGTTAAGGCCACTGCTAGCTCTCTGTAGCCCAGGTTGGTAGCCTGTGCTGGCCCGGAATACAGAGGGTCTTCCAGACAAAGAGCCATGGGAGCGGCTGCTGAAGCCCCTGGAGGTGGCATAGCGGTTGTTGTACAGACTCATGGCAGTGGTGGTTGGATGGCAGTCTGTTGGACAAGGATGGAGCACTGCGGCAGTGAGACGTGAAGCTGTGGCTCTGGCCAACCAGGCTCATGTGTCACCTGTTAGTCTTTCCTTCTTGTTTATTGACACAGTATTTGAATAAGTATTCCTCTTATGGAGGCTGGACCGGTTTCTGGCCCCTGTCCCACTCCCAGGTGACACCGCCTTATCAGCAAATATTACTTGTCTACACAGTCCTGGCTTTGGCAGGGCTCCATGGGACTAATATGGACCACCAATGATGACCACCGCCTCCAGTACAAGATCTCAACTGGAAGCACGAGTATAGGAAAAGCTGCTAGATAGAAAGCAAAGTCCCAAAAAAGATTTTGATGCTGCTAAAGTCTAACTCCAGCTTTTGCCTCCACCAACACTACCTCTGCTTCAATGAAATCCTAAGCAGTGTTGTCAGAACACTACAGACTACAAAACACCTCCCACTTATGTTATAGAGATAACGAGAGGAGAAGGTGTTCTGGAAGGTAGGGAGGGCTGACAACACTGCTTGGGATTTCAATGCTGCACTGGCAGCGTTGTCAGCCCCCTACAGGAAGTTAGGAGCTCACAGGATTTCTGGCAGATTAATTTTTATATATATATATATATATATATATATATATATATATATATACACGGTATTTTTAAAGATACAAGAGGCGGGGATATGTTCAGGTATTGGCGAGATGTACTGCATGTGGTTGTTGCTTGTTTTGACCAGACATACACTTTAACCCCTTGCCGACCATGTAAAACATATATGAGGCAGCAAGAAAAGCAGGCTGTAACACCTTCTGATCATGTGACTACTATCAGAGCCAATCACAGCGGTCACATGATACAGAAGTCACACTGCCTCCTGGATCCTGGTCCGGGATTATCATGTGTATTCTTTCTTGAATTTCGGTGTTCTTTGTGTATTTCTTCCAGATCTGTGCAGTAATCCAGTGTGAGACTTCCTGTAATAAAGAACGCTCACTGCTGCTCTCTCCCCTTGTGCAGGATGACTGGTCTTGTCTCCGACCCCTCCTGTAGTTTTCTATAATGGGTGGAGCCTGCTGGGACACTCCCACTGCTCTGCTGTGTGCACAGGCTATGTACTGCACATTGATGATGTCACTGCTACTTTACAAGGTAATATCTTGATTTGCAAAGGAAGCTGGTGCACACCATAAGGATTTATATCCTTTGTGGCTATTGAGGAGTGCATTTAAATAAAAGTTCTGGTGCCCAGAGTTTGGTTTTAGGATTCTCACTCTACTACTTAAGATACCAAAGACTTTAGGGCACTGTGGATTTATTATGATACATTTAGGATTAGAAAACATTTTTTCTTGCCTTTAAATTTCTCCAAAATTATATGACTATATTTTATAAAGCTGGTTAAAAATTAAAGTGACACTAAACAATACCCTTACCTATATGGAAGAACAATATATTTGAAATATATTTTAAAAATATTCTTCCCAAATATATTGACATATGTTTGAAATGCTACAATTTTGGGCATATTCAATATATTTAAAAAAAATAAAAAAATCAATATATATATATAATTTTTTTTTATATATATATATACTGTATGTTGAAATGCATTTTTTTTTTTTTTACAAATATATATTATTTTTTAAAAAAAAAAAAATATATATATATATATATATATATATATATATACTGTATATTGAAATGCATTTTTTTTTTACAAAAATATGAAAAATATTTTTAAAAATATATTTCAAATATACTGTATGTCTTTAAAAATACAAATCTACATTTTTGGAATCCATTTACAAATATATATTAAAATGACTTTTTCATATGTTAAAAAAAAATCTGAAAAATATATTTAAAAAATATATATTTTTAAAAATATATTTTTTTTAAATATATTCTTCAGATCTTTTTTAACATATAAAAAAGTCATTTTAACATATATTTTTTACATATATTTGTAAGTGCATTCCAAAAATGTAGATTTGTATGTTTAAACGCATTTCAACATACAGTGTATATATATCTATAATATAATATATTTATTGAACTATATTTTGAAATATATTGAATATAGCCAAAATTGTAGCATTTCCCAAATATATTTGGGAAGAACATTTTTAAACTATATTTCAAATATATTTTTCTTCCATGTGGGTATTCTCCAAAAATAATCCATATACATCTTTTACTTAATGGCCCTGTCATCTATTTTCATGAAATTGTTTCTTACTCTGTTTTTCTGCCTCCTTTGAACTACCGAACCTCTCCCTTTCCCTGTCAATTTCATTTGTCTGCAACAAGCAGTGCTTTATTAGTTGTGGTCATGTGCACTGTTCTATGCACGCTACACATACCACAATCTATCTCAGGAGAGAGCAAAAGAGGGTGCCTACGTTCCTCCCTACCAGGGCGGACTGACCATTTGGAAACTCGGGCACTGCCTGAGGGCCCGGGGTCAGTATGGGACCCCATGAGATACCCCTGGTACCTTTTTCATAGGCTTTTTTGAGTTTGGGCAAGGACACAGGGGCCCCATGATCCCCTATTGCCCGGGAGCCCCATGAGTTGTCAGTCCGCCCCTGCTACCTACAGTGCAACCATAGAGAATGAACATGGCCACCCTCTCTCTATAACAGCTCTATGGAAGGACATGCTGGAGCTTGTAGTTCCCTGCAGTGCCAGGTATTCCGGGATTTGTGGTTCAGGACATGCTTGGTCTATTCCTAACAGAGAGAGGACAGGACATGCTGGGATTTGGATTTCTCTACAGATGGGGGTGTCAGATGGCTAAAATATTTCACATCTCACCTCTACATGGAGGCGGGGTCATACATGAGACAGGCCCGCCCACCCATTCCAATGACAGTATATGTACACAGCACCTGCTGGTATTCAAACACAGGCAGTCATAGCTCTCTGTCCTGCATGCTTCATCTGTTCCAAGTGTCCGTACAAATCCAGGCACACCTGTTCTGTCTGTCTGCGTGTGGGCATTGTCCTGTTACTGTTCATCCCCAGTCCACAGACACCTGAATACACCAGCCATGTCTTTCCAAATGCCTTCAGGTGCCCCCAGTTGGAGGAGCAGTGCCTCCAGCCAAACTGGAGAGTACAGGCTGTCAGGGTCCAGGCTTCAGGCTTTGCGCTCTGGGATGGATCTACCCACCCTAAGGTCCTCCATGGATTCTTCGCTCCTCACCATGCGCTCTGGCATGGACTCTCTAGTCCAGAACAACCACCAGGAAGCCATGCAGGAGCTCAACGAGAGGCTGGCCGGCTACCTCCAACGTGTTCGGGGGTTGGAGGAAGAGAACCACAAGCTGCAAGAGGAGATCGATGAGCTGTCGGCGCAGAAGAGCTCGGTGGCCCGGGACTGGGACACGTACCAGGCACCACTGCAGCAGCTCCGCAAACAGGTAGGACAAAGCCATAAATGTCAAGTTGACCACCAAAAAATTGTCCAGCTCAAATACCTCCCATTCATCCTTCGGTCAGTTGTCCTCCAACAATACGTGCCAGCCACTTTTGGAGAATATTTCATATCTCACTCAATGGAGCAACCCCAATAGCAAAATTAGGGGGCGACACCACATAGATCAACCACTTTCGCTGGTAAGCCGACAGTGGCTTCAGCAAGAATCCCTGCATTTTAGCCACATCCCTTTGACGCGTTTCACCCTGATTGGGCTTAGTCATAGAGATTGACCAGACACAGGATGAAGGGCCCCCATCACTTCTGTTCCCAGCCCGGGCCGATGGATAAATGTCACCAATATAGGTGACTGGCATGGGTGGCATGCTCCAATACCTGTGGGGGACATCAGAAGCTATTTCTGGAGCCAGGTGGGTGAAGCCGTCAAATGATTCCATCTTCCATCCCAAGTAGGTCCCTTTGTGAAAACCATATGACTATTATGGTGCTTCTGTAGGTGGGGTCATGCTCCAATCTACAAGAGTGTGGTTTTACTTGAATCCATTGGAGTGTGGTCTTACTCTATTCCAGGGGTCTCCAAACTTTCGAAACAAAGGGCCAGTGTACTGCCCTTTAAATATTAGGGAGGCTGGACTGTGTTCAGAGGAAGTAGAAAATGCCCTGGCAACGGAGGGAGCAAACAAAGCCATAGGCTTGGTGGTCAGTGGGAGTAAAAAAAAATGAAATTATTGGTGTCAGTGGGAGAAATAGTACACCATCTATGGTGTCAGTGGGAGGAATAGTACCCCATTGATGGTGCCTGTGGGAGGAATAGTGCCCTGTCTATGGTGAAATTGGAAGAAATTGTACCTTATATTAGTGGAAGGAATTGTTTCCCAGGGGCCGGATAAATGTGAGCAAAGGGCCACATCTGGCCCTTGGGCCACAGTTTGGAGACCCCTGCTCTAATCCATGGAAATGTGGTCTTACTCTAATTCATGGAAGTGTGGTCTTACTCTAATCCATGAGAGTGTGGTCTTACTCTAATCCATGGGAGTGTGGTCTTACTCTAATCCATGGGAGTGTGGTTTTACTCTAATCCACGGGAGTGTGGTCTTACTCTAATCCACGGGAGTGTGGTCTTACTCTAATCCACGGGAGTGTGGTCTTACTCTAATCCACGGGAGTGTGGTTTTACTCTAATCCACGGGAGTGTGGTCTTACTCTAATCCACGGGAGTGTGGTCTTACTCTAATCCACGAGAGTGTGGTCTTACTCTAATCCACGGGAGTGTGGTCTTACTCTAATCCACGGGAGTGTGGTCTTACTCTAATCCACGGGAGTGTGGTCTTACTCTAATCCACGGGAGTGTGGTCTTACTCTAATCCACGGGAGTGTGGTTTTACTCTAATCCACGGGAGTGTGGTTTTACTCTAATCCACGGGAGTGTGGTCTTACTCTAATCCACGGGAGTGTGGTTTTACTCTAATCCACGGGAGTGTGGTCTTACTCTAATCCATGGGAGTGTGGTCTTACTCTAATCCACGGGAGTGTGGTCTTACTCTAATCCATGGGAGTGTGGTTTTACTCTTATTCATTGAAGTGTGGTCTTACTCTAATCCACGGGAGTGTGGTCTTACTCTAATCCACGGGAGTGTGGTCTTACTCTAATCCACGGGAGTGTGGTCTTACTCTAATCCTTGGGAGTGTGGTTTTACTCTAATCCTTGGGAATGTGGTCTTACTCTAATCCTTGGGAGTGTGGTTTTACTGTAATCCACGGGAGTGTGGTTTTACTGTAATCCACGGGAGTGTGGTTTTACTGTAATCCACGGGAATGTGGTTTTACTGTAATCCACGGGAGTGTGGTCTTCCTCTAATCCAGAAGTGTGGTTTTACTGTAATCCTTAGGAGTGTGGTTTTACAGTAATCCTTGGGAGTGTGGTTTTACTGTAATCCACGGGAGTGTGGTTTTACTGTAATCCACGGGAGTGTGGTTTTACTCTATTCCACAAGAGTGTGGTTTTAGTCTTTTAGTCTAATCCACGGGAGTGTGGTTTTAGTCTAATCCAGAAGTGTGGTTTTACTGTAATCCTTGGGAGTGCGGTTTTACTCTATTCCACAAGAGTGTGGTTTTTTTAGTCTAATCCACGGGGTGGTGTGGTCTTCCTCTAATCCAGAAGTGTGGTTTTACTGTAATCCTTGGGAGTGGTGCGGTTTTACTGTAATCCTTGGGAGTGTGGTTTTACTGTAATCCTTGGGAGTGTGGTTTTACTGTAATCCACGGGAGTGTGGTTTTACTGTAATCCACGGGAGTGTGGTTTTACTGTAATCCTTGGGAGTGTGGTTTGACTCTATTCCACAAGAGTGTGGTTTTATTCTAATCCATGGGAATGTGGTTTTACTGTAATCCACGTGAGTGTGGTTTTACTGTAATCCACAAGAGTGTTGTTTTACCCATATCCAGGAGAAAGTGGTCTTTCTCTAATCCACGAGAACACAGTTTTGCTCCACTCCCTAAGAGTACCAGCATAAAAAGAAATAAGGAATGGTAGATCAAACCTACATGAAGAGAAGTTTGACCCTTCAGAATGGTTGGGTGGCATGAGAGACCAGACTGGTAATCTGAGGACCTCTCAGGGGTTGAACAGAACATGTACTACTAAGAGAAACAGAACTTTAATGATGGTGACCCATATCATGGGAGAAATATTAGGAAATGCCATATGTAGGGTATGTAAGAGGTCACCTCAATAATTTTTTGGAGGCATAATGACCCCCATTGATGCTGGCTCTGGGGTACAAGAGAGGACCACGTTTGGCCGTTTAGCAAATCAAACATAATTTAAATCTAGCTCGTACTTTGCCTGGGCTACACAAAGTAAGATGATCTCCCTCTAGAATACAACACAAGGAATTTATATTCACAATTAATTTCCAGTCAAAATTTTGTATATAGTTTAGGATTGAGCAATGGAGGGTTAGAGCCTCTGTCAGGTTGAATTGCTTCATTGCTGTGGAAGCTACCTACCTACCAATCAGATGCCTTACAGGGACCTCAATAGTGTCATTAATTTGAATTAAAAACGGTCACCTACAGTGACGGAAATAAGAATTTGATCCCCTGCTGATTTTGAATGTTTGCCCACTCACAAAGAAATAATAGTGTGTTACCAATTGTTTTCTTGGTGACTTGGGTGAGAGCCTTCTTCCCTCAGCCAGGGCATTGAAAATGGGTCGTGGATGGGTCAGATGAGACCAAAATCAAGCTCTTTGGCTTCAACTCAACTTGCCATGTTTGGAGGAGGAGGAATGCTGCCTATGACCCCAAGAACACCATCCCAACTGTGAAACATGGTGGTGGAAACATTCTGCTTTGGGGGTGTTTTTCTGCTAAGGGGACAGGACAACTGCACTGCATCAAAGGGATGATGGACGGGGCAATGTACCGTCAAATCTTGGGTGAGAACCTTCTTCCCTCAGCCAGGGCATTGAAAATGGGTCGTGGATGGGTGTTCCAGCATGACAGTGACCCAAAACACACGGCCAAGGCAACAAAGGAGGGGCTCAAGAAGAAGCACATTAAGGTCCTGGAGTGGCCTAGCCAGTCTCCAGACCTTAATCCAATTGAAAATCTGTGGAGGGAGCTGAAAGTTCGAGTTGCCAAACATCAGCCACCAAACCTTAATGACTTGGAGAGAATCTGCCAAGAGGAGTGGGCCAAAATCCCTCCTGAGATGTATGCGAATCTGGGGGCCAACTACAGGAAACATCTGACCTTTGTGACTGCCAACAATTGATTTGCCACCAAGTACTAAGTCATGATTTGTGAAGGGGATCAAATACTTATTTCCCTCATGAACATGCAGATCAGTCATCATTTGTTAGACATGCATTTCTGCTGAATTTTTTGTTGCTATTCTGTCTCTCATGTTCTAATGGCACACCGCCCGCACTGGAAAATGCAATCGTACTGGAAACCTAGGTTCCTGTGCGGGCTGCATATTCAGAAGAAGTGCAGGGATTTCTTCCCTGCGTGTCACGGGGCAAGGGAGTCCATTCAAATGAATGGGCTCTCATGCCCGCACAAAACGCGACCCGCACAGCCGCATATATGGGGTTACTGTGTGCTGTGTTTGTTCTTCACTGTAAGCGAACTGCTTTGTATGGCTGTGCTGTGCAGAGCCATACAAAGCAGTGTGCTGGAGCTGACAGGGGAGAGATCTCTATTGTTTACATACAGTTCTCTCCCCCCATCAGCACTACTCGGCGATCTCCGGGTGCCAGTGAATAATCACCGGCAAGGTCCCGCAAACAGCGGCGCGGATAGGGCGTGCGTACCATACTCGGAAATGCAAAATCCCATGTATATATATGTGATTTTGCGCACCCGTGCCACCCTGTAGCAGTATATCTGCTATAGGGCGGTGGGGGAAGCGGTTAATTGTACAACTTGCTGCACGCACAGTAACTCAACTAAGGCTGATGCTGGGATCCCAGGACATTGCCCAAGACACAGCAATATTGGGACATGTGCATTCCAGTGTGTTTTTGGTGTTTTACGGTGCATTTGTTTTGCGTTTTACTGCGTTCCAGTACAGTTCTGTGCAGAAAAAAAATGCCGCCTGTTCTACTTTTTTTTCTGCAACCGGAACGCACTGGAACTACAAGCACTGATGTGAACTATGACACTGACATCCATATCACCTACTTTCTGTGCGTTTTGGATGCAGAAAAGAAGCAACTGAAACGCATGGAGTGTGAACTGGCCCTGAAACAATAACTATCTCCTATATTCTGTAACGTAGATGGTGTCAGGATCCGGGCGGAGGGTATGGAGGAGATTCAGAGGCATCCATTCTATTATAATAACTGGTTTGTCCAGTCGTCTGTTTGCTTTTCTTTTCTGGGATGAAGGATACAAGCGATTCGTATCACAAAGGTGGGAAGAGGTGATCTCAGAGGCAACTCCGGGCAAGGCAGCGAGGGAGGGAGAATGGCACTT